TAATAACTTTTGGGCCGGCCAGTTTCGATCCCTTAAGAAGCCTATGGAGGAGTGATCCAGCTCTCAGATTTAATCAAAAATATCTTAATTTGTGTTCCGAAGATGAACGAAAGCCTTACGGGGTTGGAACAACATGAGGGTGAGTAATTACTGACAGAATTTTCATTTTGGGGTGAACTAACCCTTAATAGAGATACACAAATGTTATCCATCCGAGAGGCTTGATTGAGCAGTTTGAATGCAAGGAAGTCAGAGTTTTATTCTCAGCTGTGCCTGTGTCTCTCACAGACTACATGGAAGGGAGGATGAGAGGAAATAGTTTTCTGGTGTTTTGAACTGAATTAAAGGAAATACTTCCTGTATATCAATTTAAAGGGACAGTTCAACCCAAAATGAACCTCCAACCTGCACGATTTTCTTTCTTCCATGAAATACGAAAGGAGATGCTTAACAGAATGATCTGGCTCTGATTTTCATACTATGAGATTTAATAACAGCAAGGACTCTCCAGCTCCAAAAATTACCAAAAAACCCCCACTAATGAAGTATCATAAGAACTGTCCAGAACTACCTTTACACAACAAACTATGTACGAAAAGCGGAAAAGTTTTTCCTTTCCTTTATGAATCACATTTTCTAATATTCCTTTGTGCCAAAACCTGATAAATGTATATAAAACCCATAATAATGATACTTTGTCTGCTGCTTTTAGAATAATTACACTAGATATATGAGGTATCTATGTAGTAGAGCCCGGGGCCGATATTATCGGCCGATTTTAGGCATTTTCCTAACTATCGGTATCGGCATTTATAATGGCCGATAAATGAATATTTTTAAAAATGCGGGTGCGGTGATTCATGTAAGGGTGGCGCTGCCAATAAAGCACCTAAAAGCTGTCACAAGAACTGGCAAAAGTAATGATTATGAATACAACAAATATAGCAAGGAGATATTTTAATTGTTTATTAATAAACAAGTGTTTTCCGTCAGTGTCAGCCAAAGATGAAGTTGACGATGCTGACTCGCGATCTTCAGTGAACGCGCGCCAGAGAGAAATGCACATTTCATACGATTACATGAGTCTGCCTGTCTTTCGTTTTGAATTGTTCTGTTTAAAAGTAGACATTTCAATATAGATATATTTCAATTCTCAGGTCTATAGGCCTACGCTGAGTTTCGGTTCATGAGACGAGCTCCAGTTCACCCGCAGGCGCCTCCGTGTCGAGATTATCTATCGTCTGCTATATTTCTTATAAATTAAATCCAGGCAAATGGTTGATGAAACATTGATTAAAATTAAGATACAATTAATACAAAACGAAATTCACTTTGAAACGAAAGGTTTTGTGCTTTCTGTTTGATGTCTATGTGAAAGTTTCAAAGCATATTTTAGTGCCGCTTTCAGAGCGCTCACGTCCGTAGTGCTGAACTGTCGCGTCTGTAACATGGTTTTTTCCTCATAAATCCGAACACGAAAAATAAAATAAAATAAAATGAATATTTTATGTAGCCTGTGGAGACTGAGAGCCAACCCTTCTTCATCCGGTGGGTAGTAGCCTACCGGGTACTTGTGATTTGCGCTGTGTAATTCACAGAATTGATTTCTCTGCTACAAGCCTCTATCACGTATTGTGTGAGCTTATGACTATTGCAAGCGCGCAGCTGAGAAGTCCTGATTATATTGTCTGCTATATTTAGGCCTACTTCTTATTTATTAAGGCAATTGGTTGATGAAACATTGATTAAATGCGTGGCGCGAGCGATCTCCGACAGTAAACTGATTCTGCTTTGTCTCGGGTAAACAGCTGTTGCGCCGCGAGCAGTAACGGCCGCGTCCGGTGAAGACACAGTGTTAAAGCTCATTCTGCCTATAACGCTACGTTACAACATCAAGCAATATTCCAAAAATGCATATAATTATAACACTTTATATAGGGCCATTTTGCATTAAGAGTAGCCTAGTTTCACGTTTAGTACATTTTCCTTACTAATTATTTAAAATAGTATAAAAGTACTGTACATATGTAATTAAAAACGTTTTCATTATGATATTATTAATTTTACTTTAGTAAAAAGATCTGAGTTCTTCCTCCACTGGTAGAGATTAGAGGAATTAAGAGTAAAAATAGAAGATAATAAGGTTTTGTCAGTGACACTTTTTATATATTTATTGATACAAGTTATGACTAAATTAAAAGACAAAGTCATTAGTGAAGATTATGCAACAGTATTTAGAATATAATATAATATAACATGCAATGCAAACTAGTTTGGTTACAGCTCAGCTGTTTAATTCTCATTCTATCATTCCCCCTGCCTCCATTACATATCTGTGTCACACAAGTGTTTGATCACCACATTTGAGTGATCATTGCAAAACGTGTTTATAAAATATATTTATTCTGTTTATAGCTACTGTGTAAAGTACCCATCAAAAGTTTGTACACACCAATAGGAAAGTGTCCAAACTTTTGACTGGTATACTGTACTATAATACACATAAATAATATTGCTACTGTATTATAATGTACACATAAATAATATCGGCCGATATATCGGTATCGGGCTTTTTTTACTCCCTAATATCGGTATCGGCATCGGCCCCCAAAAATCCATATCGGTCGGGCTCTACTATGTAGTAATAGTCTCCAACACGCTGAGTTTTGTCCTCTGGAGAGGAACTACAGGAGGAACTCTCCCCCAGTTCAGCTGTATTGACATCCTGTTAAACACAAAGATTCTGGTTCGGGATGTCTCTTCCTCTGTCCGCCCTGGTTGCCCACAGTCGTCATATTAGCGGACATCCTCTCTGCTCTGTGTTTAAAGACACATTCTGAGACGACAGACTAACATATGTGAGGAAATCACTAATGTGTCCCAAATGTTGGACAGATTTATGAGGTGAGATTAGAGAGTATGAGATTATATTTGACATATATTGTAAGGCAGTATGGGTTGGACTGCATATGTAGACTCTGGAAGGCTCTGCTCATTCACCTAGAGCTCTTGAATTGAGTATGTTTATCTCTCCATCCCTGTGGACTGCATAGACTGCATTCTTACCACCAGGGGGCAGAAGTTGCAACACTTTAAACAGGCTTCAGCATAAACTCTATCAAGCTAGAGAATGTTGCAAATATTCAAAACATTTGAAAGGAATGCTGGCACTTCATACTTATCTCACTTTATGATCATATACAAAAGATTTGACTATTTATTGTTATTTGCTGTCTTGTAATCGTGTGAAAATGTTAGACTTAGACATCGTAGAACTAAATGTTGGCGGTTTTAGTTTGATATTTAAAGTATGAATTTTTTATTCATGCAATTACTGTGGCTAGTTGCACAAACTTAGCCCCTACTGTCGTAAGAACTAGTCTGACCAATAGCAGTTTTGATGACTAACTTTTCAGACTAGTCTAAGCTGTTAATGCAACCGGCCAATGGTTTAATTTGATTGGTAACAGCTCTACCCTATAGTGTCATATCACGATTAAATGTAGGGAACTGGCATAACAAATTGACACATACATTTAATAGTAGTTGTACTACATTTGAGTAAAAATAGAGGATTGAATTATAGCCTCAAGAATCAAATTGAATTGCGAGGTTCTAAATAATCCCACACCTAATTACATTAACAGTTATGTTTTCTGCATGTAATTTGGCTATTTTGTTTAGGCTGTGTATCAGGGGCCGTAATCACAAAGAATTTTAAGGCTAAAAGTAGCTCCTAACTGGCGAATTTAGGAGCAACTCATAAAAATAATGGGCGTGTCACTCCTAACTTTAGGACTCCTAATTTTTTTCACTAAGAGTAATTCACGAAGCATTTTAGCCCTAAAAGTAGCACCTAAGTCTGGGACAGCTTAAAAGAAGTCGAGAGGACTCCTAGCTCACTAAGACCTATTCACAAAGGATTGTAGCGCACACCACCGCCTCTCGCAGTCGTCCGGGGTCCGCGACACAAGCGGGAATGCTGCATTGATCTGCAAACAAATCCTCTCCCATTCTCACGCTTAGTTTTGCTTGATATCCCAGTGCCGAATTTCCCTTTTATTATGGTTTTTTTTTTCAGCACCAACTGGGCCAGCAGCAGTAACTGATCCTGCGTCCAGTTGGGCTTTCTTTTCCGTTTTGGCGAGTTCATCATCCACCGTCATTCAACTATTACATTACTTCAATAGGAGCAACATTTCCTTGCTTTAAGTAGGCCTAGTCTATTTAGGCTAATAGGATGTCAATTAACCAACCAAGTGTTAATGCAATGCAAGTGTCGTTTTTTCATTATTAGGCAAGTGGCGGTTTTCATTGGGGTATTACCTTGATTTAATTTAATTTAATTCACGACTTTTCTCTCTCTCTCTCTGCCTTTTTAGAATTACACTTCACTGGGGCCTGCACAAACATGTCATTATATATGCATTTCGATGATATTACTATTATTATTTTGTGTAGGACACAAACATATTTAGATGTCGTAATTCCATGATTTGTTGCGTCTGTGTTATGCTCCGCATGATGGCCCTGTCATCTAACAACCAATCACCGTGATCATTGCGATGGAAGCTCGTGCATGAGAATTGACGTCATCTATAGCAACGAAGACTCACTCTTAGTTTAGGAGTTGTCATTTTTCCTTACTAAGAATAGGTCTGAAAGGCGTTGTGAATAACTTTTAAGAGAAAACTCCTAGCTAAAATATTTTAGTGCGATTTAGGAGTACTCCTAGTGGTAAGATAAAATTCTTTGTGAATACGGCCCCAGATGTTTATGTAGAAAGTATAATTACTTTTGATCTATTCATGAGGATCCATTTAAGAACTAGGGTAAATTGTTATCAAATGTGATTTTAAATGACTGTTTCATCTTCTGAAGTAAAAGAAATGGTAATAGTGATGCATTAGCAAGCACCATGAATTATATGTTCAATGAAAATGCTATGTTTTAATGAAATATATTTGTCTCTCTGTCTCTCTCTCTCTGTCTCTCACCAGGAGGCATTTGTGGAGCTCTACAGCAGGCAGAGGGAATCAGTGTTTCGCAGCTCGTGGTCGTCAATAGTAACAGTCTTCGGTCTAGCCGCTCTCGGGGCCGTTGGCTTGACCATAGGAGCCTACCTTGCCCAGAAATGAGGAACCTTCCCCTCCTTCACTCGCTTGCCCTTTCTCCCTTCAGTCAACCCCCTCCTCTGCTTTCCCCAGAAGACATCCATGTCCCAGGACTGCTCCTCTTCAAAGCTTTTCTCCCACTCTCTACAAGTCTTTCTTCTCTGCCTTCAAACACAAAGACAGAAAAGACAGGAAATGAATGCACTGCCGACACATCATGAGAGGATGGCGGAGAAGATGAATAATGAGGTGAAACAGACATTGGCAGATGTGTCATTGGCAGAATTAGTTCAGATCTCAAAGTGAGTTTTGAGTGTAGCACATATTAGTGTATTTATACATAAAAATGATGGGAAAATGGACAAGAAACATCTGGAGGTTTTGAAGATCTTTGGTGATTGAGGTATCTTTTGATGACACCAGCACTCCAAATGTCCTTTAACAGTCAGGTTGATCTTAAGAGACAATCTGCACTAAACTACCATTGTTTATCTTAGTTGTTTTTGTAGGATTAATTGTAGCTTGTCTTTTACCAATTTCAGGCTAACGTTTCTTGTGATATTGCCGCCACCCTTGTATCATAGAGTGTGAGTAAGAACCAGAAGAACTGTGAGGAGGAAAAGAGAGAAATGGCATGAGCGTTAAGACAGTGTCCCTCTAGACACTGGATGTTGATGAAATCTCGTGCTCACTGATTTCAAGAAGGAACAGCTGAAAAATGGATAATGGGATGCCATTTTCTCTTTGTAGCAATAGCAACTTAAAGAGCTTTATTGAGGACTTAAAGGGGTCATCGAATGCCCATATTCCACTAGTTGGTATGATTCTTTAGGGTCTTCATGTAAAGTTTGTAACATACTTTGGTTAAAATTCCTCAATGGTTGTGTAAAAAAACACCCTTTTTACCTCCTCAAAAACAGCTCTGTTCACAGCGACCCGTTTCGGTGCATGTCTCTTTAAATGATAATGAGCAACTGCTCACCCCACCCCTCTCTTCCGTAGGGCGTGTGTCGACACAACATGTAAAGTGCTGCCTTGGCAACCTGCCTTGGTGGACAGTATACAAATGGCTGAGGGCAGAAATATGCTAATACGGGACAGTCCGTCAGTTTTTGTGGGCGGAGCATGAGCAATATGACATCATAATGCTCAGAAAATCCAAACTTTTCATTGTATGGTGGTTGTGTCCACACACTGCAAAGACACATTTATATGCAAACACCATATAAAAGTGAATTTTGCATCCGATGACCTCTTTAAGAAGGGTTTCCTTGAAGTGCTTGGGGTCAGAAAGTAGTTTCCAGACTTTGAGAGAGTAAGCTGCATTATTGACATGTTCGACAGATATGAGCTGGTCAAAACACCTCTAGCTGTACAGTATGTGCATTGATGCTTTATTCTTCTTTAACACTCTAACTACACTGTTGTCCACCAGTGTTCATTCACACACCACAAGAAGCAGTTGGGTGGATCTCAAAACTGTCAAGTCCAGGTCATATCTCACCCCCAAATCAAAATATATATATATTTTTTAAATGTTTGGGGTCAGTGCAAATTTCTTTTTTTTTAAAGAAATTAATACATTTATTCAGCAAGGATGCATTAAATTGATCAAGTGACAGTACAGACATTTATAACATGACAAAAGATTTTTTAGCTGTTCTTTTGAAATTTCTATTCATTAGAAAATACTGACAAAAATACACACAAACACACATATATATATGTATGTACAGGGCCTAAAATGAACTCTCGGCAAGCGCCAAATGAGAGTAAAAATCTGCGTTGGAGAGTATATGAAATGGTGTCAATCGTCAGTTGGCCGAAAACATTTTTATGGATTCTAACAATGCAATGTTGTGCGAACGCGAACAAACGTGAATGATGCTCGGGACAGTCGACAGCTAGTGCTGCATCATCACGAAAGTATAAGCCTTGCCTAGTTAAATATTCAAGCGCAAGAAGATGCGAAAGGGAACTCAATTCGATACTTGCGCGCTGTATGGGAAATTTAAACATCCGAAAAATCCATGTCTCAGACAGTGCGCGAATACTTAATTGAGCGCTCTTTCACATCATCTTGCACTTGAATGGACAAACTCACACCAAATTATGTAAAAAATGCCTGTCTCCTTAAGTATCCTAGTAAACATAGTCGGTTATGGCTTAAGTGAACTTAAACAGTTGAGAAATAAAACGCATGTGAAACAGCATATTGGATCCGTGCATTCGGTCTTAAAGTGACAGCAGCCTAATATTCCTGCTGCTGTCTGCATTTTTTATGTCCATCCAACAACAAAGGACAAGAGTAAAAGTAGAAGTCACTCACTGCTCTTGACTGAATAACTTCTGTAACTTTAATATGTATGTATAATTTATACAGTGAAGACTATGCAGACTATATTTACATGTATAGCCTATTAGTTAGGCTAGTAGTTTTAGCTGTAGTATCCAAATTGGAAAAGATAATTGTGGATTTTCACTAGTTTCTAAAAGTTGGTGTCATAACTGTTTCATGACCAGTAAAAAATATTTATGGTCGGTAAATTTTCTTAAGTCACCGGCCATTAGCAGGTGTGTCAAAAAGTTAGTTTTAGGCCCTGTAAATGTACATTGAACCATATACCAATATATAAAAGCACATTTCCAACGACATTCTTATTACTGTAATGTAATTGTTTCAATAAAGTTCATAATTTGTTATATTGCACACAAACATATATTATTTGGGGTGAAATGTGACTGGGACATGTTTTCATGAAATCCTCCCAGTGGTCCAGACTTTTCATCGCTATTATTATTATTATTATTTAATTTCCAAAGCATCAACTCCAGGGATCAGTTGGGTCCAGTATGGAAATCTGCAGTGGAAATCCATTCTTTGTTCCTTGGATTTGGTGTTTACCGTTATATGTGCAATCACCCTGATGTCTGTTCCCATAAACAGCATGCTTAAACACAATCCTGCTGCATGTTTAAAGGATTTACATGCAGGAAATGAAAAGTTTAAGTGCAAAAACTGTGGACAAGAGCAACTTTATACAGTGTGCGCTATGGAGCCAGCTTTGGTGCTTTTGCATCGGTCGCATTTGGGTTCACGTGGAACCAAAATGAAACTTTGGAACAGCAAAGGGACAAACGTACCAGGAAGGCGACAGTTATTCAATGTTTGCTTGCATTGATGTAGTATCGGAGGTCATGTGCTGCATCATTAACTATGATCTCCTCTACAGACAGTGGCACTGTATGGGGTGCTAATGTGCTTTTGAGAAATAGCAGCCCTCTCCAGTAGATCTTACATCCTGAACCAGTCAATGTTACTTGTTATCTGCCTGTATGGATGTATGTTCATTCTTCAATGTGTTACTGTCTAAAATATACAGTATTTAATCAGTGGTTTATAGATGAATTTGGAAATCAACCATGTCCAGCAAAGCAGATGAACAGGCTACGTGTGTAAGAGTAACTTCTACTGACATGTCTAATGTAGTGGCATGGTCAACAACAACAAAACCTGTCTGAAAGGATCGAAGCTTTATATATAAAACAAGTGAGCTTTCAAAAGGAACAGTTTATCTTCGTGTCATAAATAGATGCTGTTTGTCTCTAGTTTACAGTTGCGATTTTCTCTGACACTAACATTTGTTCAAATGTTTCTAACAGATAGATTTCGTTCTTATTTCACCTTTATTTATTTGTAGGTACCTGAAAACAACCGTCCAACTGTAACTTCGAAAGATCATTTAGAGTTTTTCATTTTTAGGTTTTCGATTCTCTGAGAGATTTGGAGCATACGTTTGATCCTAATTTGCTGAATTAATGCTGCTTAATGTAAAGATGATAAAGTCTATAAATTATAATGTAATTTCCTGTTCTGTGTGGCGATGTCATGAATAATACTTAATTTCATGTAGTCACTGTTTCTGTAGTGGTATGGAAACTCATATTGAAGCTTTATTTTCCCTCTTACATCCTACCTGGAGAGGCCATTCAAATGTATTCTGCTATTGTATTTTTATGAGTGAGAAGTCAATTTTAACATGTCAACATAACATCTTTGGAGAAAATTCATGAAACTTGGGTTGGAAATGTTACTAGAGAAGCAAATGTAAGATATTAAAAAGATTTTTTGTGCTTAACCATATTCAGGATATATTCTCTAAAAACAAGTCTTAAGATCTTACACAGTTTTGCTTCTCAAGTAAATGTATCTTGTTTTATGGATTTGGCAATATTTTACTGGGAAACACAACAACATAATGATTAATAAAATGATTTTTCAATCTTTTGCTACAAGTATGCTAATAGGTTTCAAACGTCTCATTTCAGATCATGGTTAAATGTTGTTCATTAATTAAATCTGTTCATGTCTCACAAATTAAATTCTGCTTTGTTTATCTTCACTAAAGTTGATTCTACTAAAACCGTCATGTTAAAATTGAGCTTTTGCTTGAGAAAATACTACATGTCTTTGGAACATGCCTTTTAGTTTGATGTTTGGAAAGCTATGTAAATTATATAAATAAATATATATAATATGTATAGTGTAAACTCACTTTTCTTTGCACTATTATATTTGAGTGCATATGAAGAAATTTATATTAGTCTATTAACGAATGCATCATTCACTTGACCAAGGGTTCTCAAGTCTGGGCCTCGAGGTCCACTTTCCTGAGAGTTTTGCTCCAACCCTAATCAAACACACACACACGAAGAAGCCAATCAATGTCTTCAGGATTACTAGACAGGAATTTGATCCAGGGTGGAGATAAAAATCTGCAGGAAAGTGGACCTCGATGATCAGACTTGAGAACCCCTGTACTAGACTGTACTGAACTTTAGGTGACATCTTTCATGAGCTCTCTCTGAGCAACACATATACTTATAAACATTCAAAAATAAAGGTGAAAAAGGTCACAATGTACAGTAGACACAAACTATATGTCTGTTTCTGAATGATCCTGTGTTGTGTTGTTAACTTACACCTGGAGCAATTTCACTTTGAAGAAAAGCTGCTATACTTTATGTGATAGCGATGCACAGGACACACAAGTGACCATGCTGTTGTGTATGATCATGTGTCATTGCTTGAATAAGCTACTAGAGTCCTTCTGTTCCTGCCAAACAAATTAAGATTCAATAAAACAAATTTAAGACGCCATTGCCTCCGTGAAATGACTGATTTATGGTGATATTTCTGTGAGGTGATTCAAACAAACATCAGAAGGCAGTGTGTTGCAGTCGGTTATTTACACGCAGATACACTACAGTAGGTACGATGGCCACGAGCACTGGGGGTGTTATTTATTCACCGTGTCCCCTAAACTTCAAAGACACATCTCCAATCCATCATCCCACTAAATGCCATGCGTATAAAAATGACTCCCGCAGGCCAGCTTTCACTTCGCACTCAATCTCTCTCCTAACAACGCTCTTTCTTTTTCTTTAGCTCATGGCGTTCTTCAAAAAGACACCACTGAATCTGTGAAAAGCATGAACGTATTGTGACTGAGAGCGCGACAGAGAGAGAGAGAGAGTTCCCCGAGGAGTGAGTGAGTTCATCCCGCTTGAACCGCCCTCCGTCCCCAGAGCGCTATCTCTCTCTTTCTCTCTGTCTTCATGCATATGGAATACACACGACATGCTTTGACTCGAAAAAGAATGGAAAATCAACGGCAGATGAGCGTGTGAGCGACATGCTAATAGTTGTGTGCTAGTTTTTGGACAAGACTGTTCTGGAAAAAATGTCAGACAGCAGGGGATATCAATGCTAAATGTAAAGAACAGAATGCGAATAAATGCTGACTGTACGCTATTACGTTTATAGATAAAACATTATCTAATATTAATTCATTCATATTAATTACTATTGAATGTTATTATTAATACAAAGCCTCCGGCTGTTTTTTCCCTTCAATCAAAGTGTTGTTTGGGACCCCAATGACTTTCATTGGGCAAAAACAGTGAATACACAATTTTTCATTTCATTTTTAAAATGCTACTTTGATATGCAAATTGTGCAAAAACTGTTATTCTTCCACAAGAAGATCT